GTTCTAGACCTAGTGGTTCGCAATGTCAAATTGAAGCAGGCTCTCATTGATGGCGGAAGCGCGCTCAATACCTCTTCTCCAAGACTCTAGATGAGATGCAAATCCCGAGAATTGAGCAAAAGCCGAGTTCCGCTCCCTTCCATTGAGTTATTCCTGGGCTTTTATCTACACCACTCGGTCAGATCACTGTTCTAGTCACCTTCAGCACTCGGGAAAACTTCCGCGCGGAAAACATCTCCTTTGAGGTCACCTACTTCGAAACTATTTACCACACCATCCTGGGACGACCAGCTTTAGCCAAGTTCATGGTCGTTCCACATTACACCTACATGATAATAAAGATGTTAGGTCCACGAGGAGTCATATCTCTGCGCAGCGACGTTAAGCAAGCTGTCACTTGCGACAAGGAGAGCTACGAGATGGCCTAGTCTCATAAGAAATCACTCGGCCAACAAGAGGTCCGACAGACCGCATCCACATCACAAGAAGGAGAAACCCCTCCCAAGAAGCTGCCCAAGTCGGGATAAGGCGACGCAAAGACCAAGAAAATCCTACGTCATCCCTCTGATCCCTCTAAAACTATTGTAATAGGCGCAAAGTTGGATTGTAAATAGGAAAGCATGCTCATCAACATTCTTCAAACTAATAAAGATATTTTTGTGTGGAAACCATCTCATATGCCTGGTATTCCAAGAGAGGTGATTGAGCACTCCTTAAATGTTAGATATGATGCGAAACCTATCAAGCAACGACTTCGTCGCTTTGCACGAGATAAAAGAAATGCGATCAAGGAGGAATTGGCTAACCTGTTGGTGGTTAGATTCATCAAGGAAGTCTATCATCCCGACTGGTTGGCTAACCCAGTCCTGGTTTGAAAGAAAACAGGGCAATGGCGCATGTGCGTCGACTACATGGATCTTGACAATTCCTACCCAAAGGACCCCTTTGGTCTACAGTGTATCGATCAAATTGTTGACTCAACAGCCGGCTACGAGCTGCTCAGTTTATTTAATTGCTACTTGGGTTATCACCAAATCAGTCTGCAAGAATCCAACTACTTGAAGGCTTCATTTATCACCCCGTTCGGAGCTTATTGCTATATTACAATACCTTTTGGATGGAATGTGGAAGCATATGTTGGCGATGTTATTATCAAGACCAAGCAGGATGACAACTTGATTGCTGACTTGGAGGAAACCTTTGCAAACATTCATGCTTTCAAGATGAAGTTGAACCCTGGAAAGTTCACCTTCAGAGTACCGTCAGGGAAGCTAGTTGGTTTCATGGTGTCTCATAGGGGCATCAAAGCCAAACCCAGAGAAAATCAATGCCATATGCAACATGAAACCGCCGAGTACTCAGAAGGATGTTCAGAGTCTCACTAGGTGCATGGCGGCACTTAGCAGATTTGTTTCAAGACTTGGAGAGTGAGGTTTGCATTTCTTCAAGTTGCTTAAGAAGACGGACGACTTCTAGTGGACCCCAAAAGCTCATAAACCCTTTCAAGATTTGAAGAATTTCCTCACAACATCGCCAGTATTAGCTTCCCCACATCCACAAGAACCATTGTTGCTTTATGTGTTGGCAACTTCTCAAGTAGTGAGCATTTTATTGGTCGTCGACCGTGACGAGGAAGGGCACATCTAGAAAGTTCAACAACCAAATTATTTCGTTACCGAAGTATTGGCTGACTCCAAGACGCATTACCCCAAGGTACAAAAATTGTTATATGGTGTTTTGGTTATCGTTAGGAAATTGGCCCATTATTTTCAGAGTCACTCAGTTACGGTGGTCACATCTTTTCCACTCGGAGACATTCTTCATAATCGAGAGGCTACGGGACGTATTGCAAAGTGGTTGCCGGAAATGATGGCGCTAGACATCACATTCAAGGTTCGGACTTCAATGAAGTCTCAAGTGTTGGTCGATTTTGTAGCCGAGTGGACCGAGTGCCAAGAAGAGGCGCCTGCGGAAAGTACTGGACTATGCATTTTGATGGATCGAAAAGAGTTTTAGGGGCTAGAGTGGGGTTGTTCTGATTTCCCCGACTAGGGAACGATTGAGCTATGTACTTGGGATTCATTTTTCTGCGTCACACAATGTGCCCGAGTATGAAGCTCTTCTTCGTGGACTACGGCTTGCTGTGTGTGACGCCTAGGGCCCGAAAACGGTATTGGGTCCATCTCATCTCATCTAGTTGAACCAGCAACTCATCGCGTTTTTTCGTCCTCGCTTTAACGCAAAAATTTCGGAATCGGAGTTGTAGTGGTCGGGCAGCCCTCCTATTTAAATTGCTCTCCATCTCTCCAAACTAGCGAGGTGGGACTAAATTTGCTACAGTGTCACGCTGACCCTGTGATGTTGCTGCTCGCTGCTTGCTGCACTGCTACTCTTGCTTGCTCACCTAGGTCGGCCAAGGCCCAAGGCGTGCTGCTGCTGGGCTGCTCCGTCGAACTCATCTATACATGTGCTTCAAATTTAACCAGAAACTTCCCCTATTAGCACCACATATATATGTACAATTTTTCGACGCACATACGTCATGCCATACGACCACTTCGGGATCATCCCATATGCACCATATGCCCGCGTACATGTTCATATATACGTATAGTTGTAAGGGTCAGCTCTCATACCATCTATGACACCCAGCGCCTACTTCGGGATCATCCCATATGCACCATATGCCCGCGTACATGTTCATATATACGTATAGTTGTAAGGGTCAACTCTCATACCATCTATGACACCCAGCGCCTGAAAACGGTATTGGGTCTATCTCATCTAGTTGAACCACACCTAACGTTGTAGCTCACTGTCTTTTTTCGTCCTTGCTTTAACAAAAAAGTTGCAGAATCGGAGCTACAGTGGCTGGGCAGCCCTCCTATCTAACTTGCTCTCCATCTCTCCAAACTAGCGAGGTGGGAGTAAATTTGCTACAGTGCCATGCTAACATTGTGCTACTGCCAGTCGCTGCATGCTGCGCTGCTACTGCTGCTTGCTCACCTGGGCCGGCCAAGGCCCAAGGCCTACTGCTGCTAGGCTGCTTGCTTGCTAGCTTGCTCTTTGCCCTTTTTTTTTCTTTTTCTCTCTTCTCTTTTTTTCCCTTGTAATTATTTGCGGGGCATTACACTGTGTGCATAGGGATACGATGTATGATAGTACGAGGGGACACTCAGTTGGTTGTCAATCAAGTAACGAAAGACTGGTTGTGTCTTGATGACAATATGGCTGCACACTAATAGGAAGTTCGCAAGTTGGAAGACAAGTTTGACGGCTTGGAGCTGACTCATGTTATTCGACAAAATAATGAGGCAGCTGATCGACTGGCTAATTTTGGATCTAGAAGGGAAGCTACATGGTCAAATGTGTTCGTTGAACATCTTTACGAGCCGACTATTTTAAAAAAAGAGATTACCAAGGAGGGCCAAGCCAAAAAAGTTTCAATAATTGATACCGACTGGAGGGCGGCTTTTACCAAATTTTTAACACAGCAAGAGCTACCTCAAGACTAGAACGAAGCTGAACGGGTTTCTCAACGTAGCAAGCTCTATGTAATGGTTGAAGCCGAGTTGTACAGGAGAAGTCCATCTGGAGTTTTACAGAGGTGTGTTTCTCCCGAGGAAGGCCAACAATTATTGCGGGATATCCACTCGGGAATATGTGGCAGTCATGCTACAACATGCACTTTAGTCGGCAAAACATACATACAGGGTTTTTTCTGGCCCATGACTGTTACTGATGCGGAGAAGATCATGCGAACATGTGAGGGTTGTCAGTTTTTTGCTAGACAAATTAACCTGCCAGCTCAAGAGCTGCAAACAATCCCGCTTTCATGGCCCTTTGTAGTTTAGGGATTGGATATGGTCGGTCCTTTCAAGAGGGCTCAAGGTGGATTCACACATCTCTTTGTTGCAATAGACAAGTTCTCCAAGTGGATTGAAGCTAAATCGGTTGTTACAATAATGGCGGACAAGGTTCGAGATTACTTCATAAACATTGTGCATCAGTTTGGTGTGCCTAATCGTAATATCACTGACAATGGCACTCAGTTCACAGTAGGTGTGTTCAAGGATATTTGCGAGGATTTCGGAACCAAGATTTGTTATGCATCTGTGGTGCAAGTCGAGCGCGCAAATGTGATGGTTCTTCAAGGTATCAAAGTTCGTGTCTTTGACAGGCAACGTCCCTACGCCGGTCGCTGGGTAGATGAGTTGCCCTCAGTTTTGTGGTCATTTTGAACCACACCTAGTCAAGCTACGGGTCAGTCGCCGTTCTTTTTAGTATACGAGGCTGAAGCTATGTTGCCAAGTGAGATGGAGTTTGAATCCTTGTGTGTTCGCAATTTCAACGAGGAGCGTCCTGAACAAGATAGGGCAAATGATCTGAACCGACTGCAAGAAGCACGTGAGGCTGCATTAATCTAGTCGACATCGGCATTATCACAATCACAACGTCAGAGCACGTACTTTTATAGTTGGTGATATGGTTATGCACAAAATTTAGATGACCAAGGATAGGCATAAATTATCACTATTATGGGAAGGGCCTTTTATAATCTCCGAGGTCACTCAGCAAGGGGCTTACCGACTGAAGCGTGAAGTCCGAACGATTGTGGATAATTCCTGGAATATAGAACAACTTCGATGTTTTTATGCTTAAATTGTTTCTTGTATTTTCTTCATCTCGATTGCCGACGTAAAGTAAAGTAAAGTCGATTTCTTGTGTTGCCAGTCGGGGGCTATCAATAATAATGGAGTGTGATATTATTTTATTTCAATTCATTTTTATATGGCTTATCATTGACTCTTTTTGGATTTGGATCTAGCAGATGAAGACTGAAAATCTTTTGATGCCTTCAACAAGTTCTAGGCTTGGAATACGATGGAGAGAAATTTTTAAGAAATTTAAAGTTAGATTTAAGACTCAAGGCATGGCATAAATAAGGTGACACTTAACAATTTGTGTTTCCAAAACAAATTCTTTACATCAAAAAGACTTCATTCACAGAAGTTATCTAATACATCAAAGGCTATTTTTCCAGCGGACTCTTGAGCTTCATTAATCAGCTCCAGGGCTTGCTCATCGATGGTGCCATCAAGAAAACCATCTCCAGCAACATTTATATCCATTCGGGGATATAGTGACTTGAACATCGCTAAAGTTTTCCTTGCTCCCATGGTGGCAACTTCTTTCATGTTGTCGAAGTATTTCTTAATGATATTACTAGGAATATAAATTCTAGTAATGGCGCAGAAATAATCCTGGTATATTTATGGTTACAGAAGTAGTCCGCAAGTGCACATATATACCATTGTAGTATTTCACCCGGAAGTATTCCAAGGTACGTATTTATTTAATCCCAAGGGAAGATTTATAAGAGAGAACTTTGCTAACAATTTATATACATCACTTGTATAATTAAAGTCTAAGTAGGGGTTAATTCAAATGTGTGGGTAGAGAGACACAAAGCAGAAGAACTTTGATTCTCTCATTAATTAATCATAGGCTATGTGGAAGAAGAAATATAAAAGCAGTCAATTCATATCCTTCTAATATACACTTAATTCTAGTTTACATCTACTAGTATACAATTGTGCAGCCAATACCCCTTAACAGTGCCCTCCTGGTGTTTCAAGAGATCATCCCGGGTTGCTGAGTTTCTTACGACAACCTATCGTAACGAGGCTAAATACGAAGGAGTACCCTCCCCAGGAAATTGTCTTAGGAATATATACTAACGTGGAGGAATACCCGTACTGAACTGTCACCATGAGCGTCCCAACTCTACTGTCCCGTAGTATATATGCCCAGATAATGATATTTAATAGTCTAAGAACCACGTTGACATTATTAAATACTACTCTATATCCACATGGATGACATAGAGTAACCAAATAATCGGACATTAAACCCACACCACTGCACCTCTCTGGTAGGCTAACCACACAATTGCAACAACATAGATATAAAGTAGAATCGATACTCAAACAAAGTAAAGTACTGAAAGTATATAAAGAAGAATATTCTATTAATTCCGATACAAATGAGGAAAGAAAAACTACTAGAGCCATACCCGAACTCCTCCGAAGACTTGAGGACTCCGAAAACTATTCTATACTACTCCACTTAGCACTAGAGCACTAAACTAAAATTGAGAGAGAGAGAGAGATCAAGTCTTGCTTCAGTGTGTGTTGAGAATGAATTGAGCTCCACCTTAAATAAGCAAGTATGACGGTTGTAGAGTATGCGAAATGTAGGAAATGCCCCGCAACCGCTATCAACAAGCAATCCTGGACGTCCACGTGTAAGGCCAGGCTGAACCGATGCTACCAGGGTTCAGCCGAACTGTCCGAACCTGGGCTGGCCCAGCAGGCCTCCAGACATAGCAAGGTCACTGACAAGTGGGTTCTTATGACGGTTGTGGCAGTTATGGTGGTTTCTAGGATGGTTACTCCTGACATGTGGGCAATTCTTATCCTTAAGCTTGCTTAGGAGTGAGTTTTCTTCATTTCTTCTCATTTATGTGTTAATCTCTGCAAACAAATAATACTCTAAGTATAAGTGGAACTATATTACTCTAAAACAAATATGCATTGCAAGCACAGTTAGTTCTCCTTTATTTTAAGTATATTGACAGTCGAAATTAGTCTATAATGACCATCAACAGGTAGGCAGCCTAAAGCCACAAACCTAACTTGTTCAAGAAGTCCTAATCCCCTAGGAAATCTTTCCGTACAAGAAACAAACTTTACTAACTCTAATCATAACAAATTTGGTCTCCTTCCAAATTCGACTATGCATCTCATACGCACACAATATCTCGTCGTATGCCATATGGAATATTCACCAACCACGTGCATTGATATTTAGCCTAAACATTCTGCATGATATCCTGATCGTCCGCACATCATATTCTCCCAAGTTGACTCCCAATCAATCACCAGCAATGCTATCTCGAGGCATCAAAACTCACCTACATATGAACCAACAAAGAAACCATATCCGAGCACAAATTCTTTCCAACTTGACTCAACATTAGTACATAATAATATTACATACGTATAGTATCCATCTAGCACTAGAACGGATACCCTCATCTCAATCGGGCGGTAAGCCCCATCTCAATCGGGCACAGCGTCCGTCACAGGCTAGAAGTCACTGATGTGAAGAGTTATCTCAATCGGGCAAACGGCCGTCACGAATGAATATATCTCAATCGGGCCCTAAGTAAAGCCCGTCACCGATACCTTTGACCCAGACGACCAGTCAAACTATAGCCCGTCACAGATGACCTATCTCTATCGGGCCACAACTAGCGCCCGTCACAGATGACTACTAACCTTTGTCGGGCCTAAACTAGAGCCCGTCACAGATGATATTCATCTCAATCGGGCCTAAACTATAGCCCGTCATAGATGACTGATGACCTCAATCGGGCCTAAACTAGAGCCCGTCACAGATGACTGCTGACCTCAATCGGACCTAAACTAGAGCCCGTCACAGATGACTAGTGACCTCAATCGGGCCTAAGCTAGAGCCCGTCACAGATGACCTCATCTCAATCGGGCATTTAGTTATGGCCCGTCACAGATGACTATAATCCACAAAAAAAATAAATTTTATTTTTTGGCTAGCCTCAGGCCTTTGCTAGCCATGCCCGCTGCAAAAATGACACAAACAAATACAGATATCCAATATCCCCAGCTCCCCAGCATCACCCATTCATACATATGCATTCACATACACAGACATCAACATATTTCACACAACCACACATTCACACCCATCTCATATTTCACATCCATTCACATATTTCACATCCATTCAAATATTTATCATATTTCACCTGCAAAACCGAGTTAATTGGATCAAATATTTATTTAGCAAGTCTTAACATAAACATATGAAATATATACATAAATATAAGCATCATAGTTACATCATCACAGTTGCATAATAAGTGTTCATCATTGCCTAAACATAGAAGTTCAACATTGTTCATCATTTTAGTTTAAGCCTAAACATTCCTTTGGGGTTAATTATTTCGCGGAGGATGAAGCTGGCTATCTCCTCGCGAACCTCCTCAAAGCTGGTAGTCAGAGACTTGGTTATTGTGTTGTCATAATTCCAGATTAGTTGATCGATCATATATAAGTACTAAAATGTAGTTAGTCTATCACAATTGAGACCACCGACCTCAAACTCAGCCAAAGTCTTCACCTTTTCTCTATACAGAAGTCGCATGTTGTGGCACACATAGAATCCGCACTGGTCACCTATTTGTTGCTTCACCGAGAAGTCTTTTTTGTGGATGAGGGTGTCATGTCCTGTCTTCCTGAGGCCTCCTCTTTGCACGTATTGGGCCCACGCTTCATCTATCTCTAGTTGAATTGGGGTCCAATCATATGCGTTCTTATCAATTCTGGAGTTCAGGTAATGACATGTACTCCATTTAGGTGTTATGACCAGAAGGATCCAATGGGCACTGCGGCATTAATATAGTGAAAGTTAATTAAGTACTCAAGGAATGTGTCATGCTGTTGTGTATATTTAGTTAACACACTTACTATTGATTGTAGGCACACATAATGTACTCCTTGTCTCGGCGGGACCACAAGGTGTCGTAGATGTAGTTGACCATTCCTTAACGGTCATTCTGGAGATTTGTGACAGTGACCACTTGTGGATCAAGGAAGGCAACTTCCGGTGCATGCTTCTGACACCATTGCCAACTTAACCTACACACAGCATCAACGATCTTGTAAGCAAGTTAAACCGATTGTTATTACCAGAATGAGTTGGGTGACAATACTTACAAGGAGTAGCACTTAGGGAGGCTTGTGTCCACCGCTCGAAGCCTGTAGAGGTCGAAAAGATCCTTGAAGTCGACCACGATATAATTTGTTGGACCAAGGAATGGCTTTCCATCGTGCTGTCCAAGGATATCGGTAGCTTTACTTGGCTTCCTGGCGTTAGATTTCTCCATGTAGTATAAGTGAAGGTCCTTGCAAGCGGTGCCCATTGTGGCAAGCACGTCATCTCCAACCAATGGCATGCCTAGTTGGAACTCCTGTGGAGCGACGTATTTCTTCTTGACCTCTTTGCCCTTAGTCTCTTCCTGGCCCTTGCCCAGATCTAGCTTTCTTGGAGCTAGAAGCGAGGCCTGCACCTTTCCTCCCCTTCCTCTCCCCTTTGCTTCGGGTTTATCGAGAGTAATTCTCTGAGGGGAAGAGTGTGCCTTCCTGCTCTTCTTCATCGGTGGGGGTTCATGAATCGCCTTGCTGTCGGCCTCCGTTCGGTCCTCCCCAAAATCCGTGTCGTACTGCAACTGCACATCGTAAAATTGTGCATGACGATCTTGAGCAGGAGGGGCTGAAGGAGCAGAGGCGGGTCTCTTTGGTGGACGACTGCCTGGTGCAGTGGTTGGCCTCGCTGTAACCCTGATCTCAATGAGGTCCTTGGGCCATTGGATGAAGGTACCACGGGCATTTCCTAGTGAGAGGACCTCGTCGTTCGGTGGATACTTCAGAGGGAACAGCTCGTATTCAGGCTTCACCGAGTCGACTTGAACTTTTGCACAGTCGGCCCTGAGTTGTGCTCCATGCACTCTTGTCTCTGGGGTCGGCTTGTACGCAAGTCCCTCGGCTGCTGGAACAGTGAAGGTCGGCATCACCCTAACTGTGAGGGTGCAGCTCGTTGGTTCCTGCGATAGATTAATCAACTTTTTTAGAATATTATATATCATATTGATTAGTTACGTCTTTCATGAATTGAGTAAGTTCACGGTTACCGTTATGTAGTCGACGGCGCTGTCGACCGATGTTGGATTTTCCGTCAACTCAGTTGATGCGCAACTGCTGCGTTTTTCGGTGGGACTTCCTAACTCTTTGTGCGCAGCAGCAGCGGCGGCCTGGGGGATCTGTTGCTCTTCTCGGATCTCTTGCCTAATCTTGGCCCTCATCGACTCGAGCTTTTCGTCGAATTCAAATGTTAGCTCAGCTCGTATCGACTCCCGGATATTGGCTTCAAGGCGTGCATCTTTCTCCGCCTTGTTGGAAGTCCGCTTCTTGTACTGCCACGCGTAGTCTGGAAATCCATACTTCCAGGGAACAGAAGACCCAACGCCCCGTGTCCGTCCACGGTGTTCCTTGTTGCCCAACGCTTTCGTGAGGAGGTTGTCCTCACGTCTTTGAGAGCAGGCCTCTTGCGAGGCTTGTTGCTCGGCAACCAACTTCTTCTGCATTACAATTTAGTGGGGTCA